TAGGGGGAGGGGGGGGGGAGAAGGGAAAGGGGGTTGGGAGAAGGGGGAGGGACAAAGATGACAAGAGAGAAAAGATTGCCGGGCGTACAGCGCACGGGTCGCGGGGTGCGAAAACAAAAGAAAGAGTACGACGCGCAAGGACAGCGACAACAAGACAACACCAAAGAACAAGTCATACTACAACACTAACGAACACTCACAAAAGACAAAACACGTACGAGACACTCTTCAACACATCTAATCATATCGGAAAGGGAAGTTCCACTAGAGGTATCGTAGCAGTCGGCCAAGGACAAGCATGTACCTCGTACCCCGCCGTGAACGCTCGCAGGTGCAAACCCCCGTGAAACTCCAAGAGAGCTTGCTTGCGTTGTCCACATCCCCAACCTACTGCTGCATGCTGTATGGTACCATGGTGAACTTGAAGTGTATCTTATTTTATCATTTTACTTTTTTTTTTTTTTACCTCCGCCTGCTCGTCGTTCTTCTTCCTCTTCAGGTCCGCCTTTCGCACCGCCGTCTCGGCTAGCGCGATGATCTCCCCGTCCTTAAGGTCGTTGTAGCAACTCTGAATCAAATCAACAAGAGCAGCAGCAGCAGAGGAGGAGCAAACGCACGGGGAAACGTAGGTGTAAACGGGAAAGGCCTAGGTGTGAGAGGCTTGGCATCTTCCGGTAGCAAAAAGACACCGGCAAACGCAGGTACAAACGGGGTGAATAGACCCAGCGCCTTTGTTGTGCTACCACAAAACTACTCACGGTCACGGAACACCACTGCCACTGCTGCTTCTTTTGCCACGAAAAAAACTTACGGAACACCAGTGCCACTGGTTGGAGCCCGTGGCGTGGTAGAAGTACCGCCCCCTCCCGATGCGCTTCCCGTTGCACTGAGCCCCGTTGCAGTAGTACGTCATGGGCTCGAACGTCTTGGCGGAGTAGCCGCACAGGTTGCAGGTCTCGCCCCTCTCCTTGCGGCCGTTCTCTTCCGCCTCCATACGCTTCAACGCCTGCGCTCCGGTTTGTCGATTGGTTGGTTGGTTAGTTGAGTGAAATGGGTGCTAAGGTTGATTCACCCGCCACGAAGAGAACGGGAGTGCAGGAGTGGTGCAACAACGGAGAGGCACCGATCGCCCATCACTAGCCACAAGCATGCCGGGGGAAAGGCGCCTCGTTTCGATTCACGCCTCGATTCGGTCCACGCCTACAAAACCCCACGTAGCTTGCGGCACGAGCTCCACGTTGTTTTTGAGGCGAAACCGGGCTAGACTTCAGAGGTCACACGTCCACATTTTTAGCTGGAAACGCGCTCGCTGCATTTGCCAGCTACTACTACACGATGGCCTCGAAGTAGCAGTGCCAACACCAGCGCGATATTTGGTTTCGTACCGCACCGCACTACAACCTTTCGTCGCAATATCCTCCGCTTCCGCCATATACACAGATCCCACGAGAGACTTCTGGTCTAAATTCCACTAGAGAACGCATCGTGTGCCTTCCGGCAAATCTGCAGATCGATCCAGTGAGACACTTCTGTTCTAATAAACTCCGCGATCCCCCCCCCCCACCCTTACCAGCGCCCAATCCTTGTTGAATTCCTTCTTCATGCGCTCCGCCACAGGGTACACCTCGCTCTCCTGGTACAGGTCAACACACACAAAAATAAAATGTGGTCAAGGGTGTCTTCGATGGTGAGACAAAAACGAAGCAATGGACGCTACTAAAACACCGGCGTGAATGTTTCGGCAAAACGACGGTCTTCTTTACGGGAGGATGGACACGCAAAATCGGGGTCATAGCCGATGGGAAGAGCACTGGCTGTTCAGAGACAATCTGCCCCAAGAGCGCGATTTCTCGCGACCACCGCGAACACCTTGAGTTTTTCGACACACAACAACAACAACAACAACAACAACAACAACCATCCACCGATGAGAGAGTGAAACCATCACATCGCAAGATGCAGCAGCAGCAGCATCAGCAGCAGCAGCGCCATACAGCACACAGCAGCCAACAAGCCCTGCTCACCGGCCCGTTGTACTTCATGGCGTTGTCGAACACCAGCTGCACGTCTGCGGCGAACTCCTCGTGCTCCAGGTACCCGCCCGCGCCCTCCTTCGCCAGTTTGCGCGCCACAGTCCCGAGGTCCATCGGGTGCGTGATGATCTGAGGCAAAATCAACCAAGACACACATAGACAAACAAAAAATAATGAGGCCGTTTCTTACGCTGTGGATTTTTCAGTACGTGACCCCCTCCTTCCAAGTCCGTCTTTAAAAGAGTCTGTCAGCTTGTAGCGTCACGTCTCGCCACAAAACTCTCGATGAGGAGGTGCATCGTACCACCCAAGACTCGAAACACAACAAGCGGTCTAATTCTTCGTGAGGTGGTGGTGATGATGGTGACGTGCCCTGCACAGCAACAACGACTTACGCCACCACCAAATCCAGCCGCAAGAAACAACAGCAACAGCAACAGCAGCAGCAGCACCAAAGGCAGCACCGAAGGCAGCACCAAAGGCAGCAAAGACTCAAAACAAGGCAGACGCAGCACGCCGACGAGAGACAAAAGCAAGGAAGCAGAGAGAGACATCACGAACAAGGTACAAGAACACAAACAGACACCGACTCGCCTCGAAGTAGTCCGGCAGGTTGAGGTGGACCGGGTCCACCGGGTCGTTGAAAACCCAACCGAACTGAGAGTCCCTCAGCTTCGTCAGGACAGCCCCCGCTGCCGCCTGTCCAGCCACCACACATCGGGAGAGGGAGAAGGGGAGGGGGAGCGGTCGGCCATACTTCCAAGCCCGAAAAAGGAACAGACGGCAACGCCCTTGTTTAGGGCGGTCTCCTGAATTGCCTCCCCCCGTTTGCAAGGTCGCCGTGCTCAACGTTCAGAGCAAGGTCCGGCCCAAGTCGCCACCCCCGTACAGTATACAGTATCGACATTACATAGCATACGCAATAAGCAACACCTGAACGCAAAAAGCACCACCACCGCCGCCACCACCACCAACCACACTACCGCTACCCACTACCAACAACACATCTCTAATACGCTCGTCCGCGCCCCTCCCCCCCCCCCCCCCGCCGCACAAACACACCAAAAAAAGAAAAACGTCCACCCCTTTGAATCCCAAACGTCTCACCTGGATACGCTCCTGGCTAACATGCATGCCCGTGTCGAGGGACTTGACGTGGTTCAGGATCTGATCCTCCGTAAACGCTTCGATGAGAGAAGTGCAGTCCTCGGGGGAGAGCATCTTGCCGGGCGTGGCTCGAGCCTGTGAAAAAAAAAAAAAAAACACACACACACACACCACACACAAAACAAAGACACACACGGGAACAGCAACAAGGCCGTAGAGGGTCGAGGAGGGGTAAGGCAAGCAACGAGTAAAGGGGAGGAGGATGTGATATAACAGAGAGCCGGGTATTTTCGGCACCTTGACCTCCAGCCAAAATATGAATCAGCACATCCAACAAGGTATTCATCAGCCTGAGTTTCGCGGCAAGGGTAAAAGGTGCCAGGGACGCACACACAAACGCAGACGTGTGTAAAAGCAATAACGCGGACCCTCCATCCACCATTATGCCGCTACCCCGTCCGTACGAGAGCATATAGTCGCTAACGGAAGTGGATGGCCGTACAACGACAAGGCGGGTCACACGGATTACGGTATACGGTGCATGGCACACAGGAATCGGTTAAACAAATCAAGTGTACCGAAGGCTACATCACAAGAGCGAAAAGTCGCACAACACTGTCTGGGGACAACAGCAACGCGTAGGATATGCGTGACGTCACCGGGTAAGACACACACGCACACTATACTCATGTATTATGAGGAACGGATCTGGGAACGTTCTTAACAATTTCCAGAACCGTGAACAAACAAAAGAAAAGCAGTTATATATCAGAGAAAGCAATTTTACCATCACTTGTTTTGTGCGACCGAGTGCCGACACGGAAAACGGGACGCAAGAGAGAGAAAAGTTGAAGCAGTTCAAGCGTGTGTCCACTGTTGTCCAACTCCTGCACCTCCCAAGTCGGTAGAACCCACTATTTAGAAAGCGTGCTAGCGTCTTCTTTACCGCTTTTAAGACTGACGTCTTTTCATTGGCCAGCCGAATAGCGCGGTGGATACCGCTTAAATAAAACACGCACACACAACCATGACGCCCCCTCACGAGTTACAGATCATGGCCTTTATTATATTAGAAGCGCTTTCTGTATTCAACCGCGCTGAGACGCTTTTCATTGGTCAGCTGGTTACCGCGGTCGATGCTATTTAATACCAAAACACACGTACACGCGCGGCGGACGTAAAACTCTTGCATTGCTTCCACGTTCCCCACCAAGGAGACGCCGACTGCCACGCCGCGCTTCGGCGGTCGCGCTCGTAACAACAGCAGCGTCGCCAAAAAAAAAAAAAAAAAGACACTATTTACTCCAAGGAATTGCTGTGGAAATAAGGGTCAGGCCGCGCGCGGACTACAGGCCAAGAGTTCAAGCCGTAGAGAGAGGAGGTGAGAACGCCTCGAACCGCACGACATCAACATCACTATACACCACCACAAAACAACAACACGGTCTCACATCTGGCTGCTGGGTGCCTGGGGTGCCGGTGACTACCATCTGAAAAAGAACGGGCAAAAGCAAGAAAGACGAGGGATATAACAAAAACAGGCGCGTGGGGGGGGGGGAGGGGCGACATCGTCGCAACACCACACACGCGGTGTGTTTAGCAGTCTTATACTCTTACTTATTTTATTTATCCTTTATTGACACCACGCAAGCGCGGTGTGTTTAGCAGTCTTACACTCTTACTTACTTTATTTATCCTTTATTGACACCACGCAAGCGCGGTGTGTTTAATAGCAGTCTTATACTCGTACTTATTTTATTTATCCTTTATTGACACCACGCAAGCGCGGTGTGTTTTATTAATCTATACTTTTACTTATTTTATTTTATCTTTTATTAACGTAACGCGCCAGAGAATTCGCTTGTTGCTGCTGCTGCTGCTGCTGCTCAATCGGCACAAACACTTTGTAAGAGCATGATCGAGGAAAGATGCGCAACTGCCGTCAAAAGGCGGCACACGCACGTCCCAGGAGCACCAATGTCCCAGTCAGTGGTCGGTAAAAACAACAAACAGACACAGCAGCCCCAAAAACTAAATAGTGGTACTTCTACTCCGTATTTAGAATCGATGCGTCGTTTGCTGCACACGTGCTAAAACCCGCACGCACGCAGCCTTCGAAAACGCATCCCACGAACAGAAATGCGCTGCACCGGACCACGGGCTGCGGCAGCGAATAAAGCTACACGGGCAGTGACGACAGTTAAACTCCGTGAAAGAATGGAAACGGGCGGTTTCAACATAAAAAATCACTTTACTTAGGACGCCGCCGACAACAAACAACAAAACGACAGCAACCCATACACAGGATCAAAACAACGCCCACAGCCATCAAAAACCGCAAATCACCCTCGGGTACCTGCTGAACAGTCCGAACCGGCTGCCCCGCAGACCCCGCGGGGTACGCGCCCTTCCCGACCGCGGCCACCCCGCCCGCCGCCAGAGCGCCCGGTGCGCCGGCCGCCGCAGCAGCACCACCACCACCCGCAGCAGCAGCAGCAGCACCCATGTGGTGGCCTTGCTGTTGCTGCTGTTGCTGCTGTTGCTGCTGCTGCTGCTGCTGCTGCTGCTGTTGTTTTTGCTGCTGCTGCTGCTGCTGCTGCTGCTGCTGCTGCTGGAACTGGGCCGCCTGCCCACCGCCTCTGGCCGCGGCCGCCGCTGCCTGCGCCGCCATGGCCTGCTGATGCGCGACCGACCGCGCCGCCCTCGAGTTATTCGCCGGAACGACGGCATTCGGGTCCACCATCATGCCGTTGCTGCTGCTCCCCGCGCCACCACCGCCGCCGCTTGCCGACGCGGTGCCGATGGTGCCCGGCGCGCCGATCAGACTCGACGATCGCTTCCCGTTAGACGCGGACGACTTAGAGCTGTTCGGGGGAAGGGGAGACGGGGGGGGGGGGTACTCATGTATTAATAGCTGTTTAGACCACCATGCGCCCTCGAGAGGACGGAGCATCGTTCCCACAGGGGGGTGGGAGCGGTGTGGTGTGGCGGATGGGTCCAGAGGATTGGTGGGGGGAGGACATACATACATCCAAGCGACAAGATCGTTTTAGCTTGTGCCAGTGTGAAACCGTCTTTAGGGATGGATGCTTCGACAACGCCGAACTCCGCGACCTGGCTCGTCTCTCTCCCGGTTTTCACGCCGGCTACGTGAGACTTCTCTATCACTTCACCGCCACAAACGAAACCTGAATCTATACAGCCGGGGCTCTAACCCCATACGCTTCTCTCAACATATAGTATTGCAATACTGCTGCAGGGTTGCTAACGTGCAAAACCTTCATGCCCTACGAAGCCCTTCCCCCCCCTGTCAGCCGGAGCAACTACTGTAAATTACCGTACCGCCGCAGACTCACTCCTCTCTCCAAAAAATATTGGTACTTGTTCAAGTCGACGCAACACACAAGGGGGCCAATAACGACATTTCCTTGCCCTATGGTGGGGGGGGGGGTTACGGCGAAAAAAAAGGGAGGGAGACTCTCACGATTGGGTAAAGGAGCTGCATGTATCCACGCTCTGTCTCCCAATTTATGGCTGCCGATTACCCAAAAGAGGTGTAAACATGACTGTCGATAAGTCTGCAGGTTGCTCTGGGTGTACAGTGCCAGCCTGCTCGTAACAAACAACCTCGTCAAACTTGAGCCTCAGATTGTATGAATATATTTACGAATTGAAAACTACAAAATAAAAGTACGCAAAATAACGTACTGAAAATTGAGCTCATCTGATGGACAATATTACGAAATGGACAAGTAACAAGTCGCACAGTACAACCCTTCTAACGATAACAACTGCTGGATTTGGGGTTGGATGTGGAAAGCCGGAAACGACCTCAGATGATGACTTTGACCCCGATAAGGGCTAGATACCGTGAGGTCTGCTAGCAGCTTCCGTGCGGATTTAGTCCCTGAAAACAAAAAATAAAGCGGCTCAAGCTCACCTGCTGCGTGCCCCACCCCTACCGGTGTCGCCTCCTCCGTGCGCATTATTAAACTGGTCAATCGATCCCGACTGTCGCGAAAAAACACGGTTCCCACGATAAGCCAGAGAAGAGGGCACGAACAACAACCAACGGTCGAAAAACGGTGTGAGCAATCAGCAAAAAGACTGCAATTAAAAGAAAAATGCGTGTGAAGCACAGAGCCAACAAAAAAAAACGCACTGGCCACCCAACCATGGCCATGACAAGGACGGCGAACAACAAGGGGAACGATCCCATCGAGATAGAGGAGAGAGTCGACAAGATGAGCACAAACACAGTCCAGCCCGCAGGCAGGAACACGCAGAACACGATCCCACCGACAGACGAAAAACGAGGGAGTCGACAAGCAGGAACAAGCACGATCCGACAGAGACACAGAAAGAGAGAGCGCATAAGCAGGAACAAAGCAGACATAACCATGGCAAACGCGCCCGGTAAAGGGCACGACCGCAACTTCGCCCGCCCACATTCCATCATCCAGGGCGGGGAGGAACGCCTGTGTAGACGCACTTGAACGACTAGATCTCGCTCGCTTGCCGTACACACAACACGTACCGCCATGTGCATCCTTCAAGCAGCAGACGAAGGCGGACAAAAACGACGCTCACCTGATGCAACCCGGGCGCCTGCTGTCCGGACATGAGTTGATTTTGCTGCTGCTGGCGCGCCTGTAACCGCGGTCGGAGAGGGATATACGTCCAGCAGCAGCAGCAGCAGTTATAAGGGTATCACGAAGCAGCACGTGGGTCTTGGTCAGAAAAGGGTTGGGACGGAGCGAAGGGGGGAGGGAGGGGGACAGGCGGAAAATGCTACGACGGTAGACACTTGGTACTCGACAAACCGTAGAAAAAAAATTGGTACAATCTACCCGCGGGTGTGCTCGCGACCTAAAAAATGTGTCGGAAACAAGAAATCAGCAAAGAGGCAACAGCAGTTCAGCTGCTGCCGTCACCACGCCAAGGGTCGCCACACACACCGGCCGGCGCGGACGCGGCTTACATAAACTGGCGACTTGAGAGATATCTAGCCCGAGGCCCGAAGCAAAGGGGGCTCACGGCATTCCAAGGACAGACAAAAAAACGCCAGAGGACAGATATCGCAAGCGCAAAAAGGATGGTATATATGAATGCCTCATATGTCCCTTCCTTCCTCGCACCTGGGCCGCCTGCTGGGAGGTGATCAAACCCCGCTGCGTCTCCAGCTGCTGCTGCTGCTGCTGCCTCTGCGCCAGCGTCAAATCGCGTGGGTTCGAGAAGTTGCCTCCGCCCGACCCACCCGCCACCCCATTGGGCCCCACCATGTGACCACTACTGCCGGGAACAAGCTGCTGTCCGGAGACCCCCCCCGCACCGGGCTGCCCCGACCCGGCTACTCGGTTCCTCGCCTCCTGGGGCAAGTGCAAGGATTCGGCGGCGGAGGTGGCGGGGGGGGCACTCACAAAGGTATCCGCGTACAGCGTGGTCAACGACGGTCTGTAGCGGGTACGGACGGTACAAGCCCGATTTGAGAGAGTAAATGAGTGCCTGTCGCGGCCATGAGGAACACATATTTACATGGTACATATGCATACAGCAGTACTGTTTCAGGGAAACCTGGATCCAAGAAAGTGGTTTCAAGGCTAGTCTCGACACTCTCCTAAACAGCAGCATCATAGCCGCTCCTGCTGTGCTCGCACTGTCCTCTTTTGATCATGTATTTCTTGATCGCACAAAAACAACGAGCACAGAGGGAAAAAACGGAACCCGCCCGTAACACGCACAACAGCAAACACCGCCTAATACATGAAGGGCCGACGGACATAGAGACTGCTACATGTTCATTCCTTGTGTGCGTCTGCCATGCCTCTGCCCCCCCCCCCGCCCTCCCTCCGTTCTGCCTGGACCCTGGTACACCAGCACCACACCCGAATGCCTCCAGGCGCGCGCGCTGGCTGGCAATGGAGTGCGATTCCCCGAGCTCTCTTTCTTGCCCCTCACCTGAGTCACCATCTGGCGCTGGTGTGACTTGGCAATGACCTCGCGCACGGGAGCGCACACGGCACACTTGAGGTCCTTACATCGATGGTAGTGGCTTAGCACGAAGCGAGACGACACGCAGTGTGGAATCTGCGGCAACAGCGGCAGCAGCAGCAGCAGCAGCAGCAGCAGTTAGCAGCAGCAGTCTGGGGTGTGCGTGTGTTGCAAACGACGAACGACAACTTCGCAACTACACCCACCACCCCAACGCTACATATCACCACCAACATAAACCTTGCCAGCACTCAAAAAGTACAACCAAGTAGGCAAAACAAAAAAAAAAAAAAAGGAAAAACTTACCGGGCACTGCTGGTTCTTGCACTCGGCGATGTGCTTCCACAAACGCTTCATCGCCTGGCAGTGCGGCGTAACCTTGCATTGCTCCCCCTCCGCAGGGCACTTGCTCGCGTGTCGCAGCAGCAACAGCCGCTGCTGCTGCTGCCGGAGGGCGGCCTGCATCACCGAAGAGACCGACAGCAGTAGTTGGCCGGCGGATGAGAAGTGGTGGGAGCCGTACGAGGTGCAACACAGCATGAATCAAGTCCATCGACCACCAACTACCTCACACCAAGCAAAACATTCTTTCGTCGTCCCAATTTTGCAGGGCGTTGGTCCTTGCACCTTTCGGAACAATGCTGGACGCACCAGTCGGGGTCACAAAGGACTAAAGGGAAGGCCACACTGGAGTTAGTTGCAATCTCCACCTCTTCCGAACTTTTGTGGAAATCCATCCTCTGACGAGTATGTACGTACGCGATGGTCAAACGAAACAACAAGCAAGCACACTGCAGCCCCATCCATCTTCCTAGCTTCTTCCTCGCGCGTCCATCCTCTCACCTTACGATCTTCCGGAGTAAACTCAGCGTTCCTCCTTCGCTGCTGTCCCCCACGCCCGGAGCTCCCACCATCGCGCCCCCCACCGCCACCGCCACCGCCACCGCCACCGCTCCCACCGCCGGCAGCGGCAGCACCGCCGCCGCTACCGCTAGCGGTAGCCGTCATGCTGCCGCCGATGCCAACGCTTCCCATACCCATCCCCCCCCCGGCGCTGGAGGACATGCTCCCGTTGCGCATCAACGCCGGGCTCTGCCCCGCCCCTGCGACGAGCCCACCCCCCATCACAAGGGCGCCCGCGCCTCCCGTACCGCCGCCTACCGCCGACGCGTCCGCTCCTCGCCCCCCGCCACCCCCTCTCCCGCCAACGCCGCCGTTGCTCAGGGCCGGCGACGCCCCGCCGCCGCTCAGTATCGGGTTGATGTCGTTGATGTTGACGAACGTGCGGGAGGAGGCGGCGTCGTTCCCGCCGCCGCCG